AACACCAGCAGAGCTTAAGCAGAACACCAATCTAGATTTATGACGTCGGATCTTTAGAAATGATACTTTAGATTGATATTAGGTAAAATTAATGCTGCGGCAAAGGTCATATTCCCCATCATCAGCAGGTCTGCTTCGACAAGGTATTTCCATGTTTTGTATTGTCCTCCAACGCATCTACGGTCTGTTGGTGGTTTCCATGTAAGAAAAGTTTAGACCTGATCTCCATTCTCTTTTGCGTCATTGCATCAAACCGAGCCAAGTACCGGCCTCTGAGTTCATCTTATAGCTTCCCGAGATCGTTGGCGCTGGTTGCCAGTACCTGATCGCTTGAGGCGCCGGAACCATCGCACTTTGAGGATACCTTGCAGACAGCACTGTTGGAAGCCTTATGATTGATCTTCACGGCGCTCGAAGTACTGCAGGTGTTTCGAGACTGTACAAGAGCATCGCGAATACTGATGACATCAGGATAGAAATTTTCGTGTCCGTATTTATAGCTAGATTATTTTATGCCATATAGCTTATCAAAATTCGCGGATGCTAGTCAAACACGCCGGTTCACTTCAGCATCAATGTCGCCACCGTTAATCAAAACAGTTCCGGTGTACATGAAACGGTTTACCTCATTCATTGTAACATAATTCTACAATATCCTTGGGTAGTCGATCGCAGTGAGCATTCTCATAATCTTCGTTGGTTTGGAATTCACTTGTAGTCCCACTCTAGCAATCGTATTGCACACGCTTTCAGTAAAAATCAGCAGACCAGTGGTGGAGTCGCTCAGCATCATGATGTCCTCCGCGTACTGAAGGTCCGTTAGAAACGCCGGCTCAGAAGAGTTCACAAGTGCGCATGAGCATAGAATCAACAGCCTTTTATAGTAATGGCTATGATGCCTATTGAAAGCCAAATGCGACTATACCAGTTATGGCCCGGGTTGAAGAGCAAGATAGGTACGTCTGCATCAGTTACGGTCAGATTCAGGCGCTAGCTGAAATAACAGACGTATGAGAGGCGCTCAGAGACAGAGAAATAGGATACTTCGATCATGTGCAGAGAACAAACTATACCTCGTTAATATATATACCCCAGACTTATAAAAGCAAAATGCGAGAAAAATTCTGACATTGTGGAACATGCTGTTACCCACCAACAAAACATACTGTGGAACAAAATGAAAGATATCGCGCGAGAACAACAATATCTGTCCTGCAAGGTCAAGGAAGCGTTATTGGCCCGAGCAACCAACTGAATCAATCGTGACCTTGGAACAGACGTCAGCGACACATGGACCGCAAACGTAGGCGGCCGATTAAGACTAGCATGGCACCATTACGCATGCGGGACAACCAGACTAGCATGAAAACGTTACGTGCCCTTGTCATTGTACTCTCAAGACGAACCGAACTTGGTCCGAAACGTCAGATGTTCCTGATTAAAGACTATTTCACGCGTTGTATTCCCATTTGTGGCTTACCTAAAGATTTTATCACCTCCCTCATAAAGAAATCATGTACGATTTTCAATACTGTTCGTGTGCGCTACGGGGCGCCTATCATGTACCAGTGCAGGAAACTGGAGAAGTACTCAGCGACTTTGTCACACGAACGCTGTCATCTTTAGTTCTTCTCGGTTGCCGTGACAACTGTTTAATACCAACTGGACTACGACTAAAAGGACCATGTTTCGGTCTCAATCGGAGCATCGTCTAGGAAATGACTTTGAGAAGTTTGTACGAAGACGGATCTCTTATCACAGGTTCAGACTGTCAGACATAATTTCAAATATGGAGATATTGCTGCAAGAGTTGTCGGTTTCTTTACGAGGTTCGGAATTTCAAAAGATCGTTCGCCACTGTCAACTCATGGTCGAACTACAAAGATGGGAGAAATCTCAAACTTTGCGAAAGAAATCGACACCTTGATGCTGGAAAAGTACTGCGAGTTTTGGAATTCACGTAGAAAATCGTTTTCAAACAACCAGGTTGTGAATCTGAGTAGGAAAAACTTGAGAGAAGATCAAAAGTCCGTTCTCTCCAAAGGTTTGAATTTTGCCCGTGCTCCAGATAAAGTGCCAGTTCTCGAAATTGCGGCATCGAATTAACGAGCATATCTGATAAATCACCAGACAGCCATCCGGGACTTGGCCAAATAAGCTGCTGTCAAAGTTCAAAAGTTCCAGATAACTGGATCCAATCTAAGTAAGTCTGAACAAATTGCCCTAAAACAACTGGAAAAGGAACAGTTGTTTCTACATTGCCATAATGAAAGCAGATAAGGAAAACACAACCGTGGTTATGGATAAAGAGAAATATCCAACTAGCTGTGCAGAGCTGCTTAACAACGGTTATGGTCCGCCAGATGAGGATCCAATAAAACGGTTGACAGAGTCCCTGAAAAAAGTGATAACAACAATGGTAAAGAAGAATGAAATGTGTGCTCTCCAAGCAAAGGGTATATTATTGAAACTTCATTTCAAATGCAGTTGGTATCCTCCTGAACTGTGCTGCTTACCAAAGATCCACAAGCCGAATATTCCTCGGCGACCCATTGTTGCTTCATCATCTTGCATTTTGGCTTTGATTGCACGACTGCTTCGCCCTACCATTCAGTCGTACACGAGTAAGTTGGAATCACACGCAAAAAATTCAGGGAAGTTCGTAGAAGAGACTCTCTCAAGAACGAATGACAATGATGAAATGATAGTGAGCCACGACGTAAAGGACCTTTTCACCAGTATACCTCTCGAAATCGTAATTGATCTAGTCGAAAAACTGACAAAAGACTTAGACCTTAAGAATAAAACATCTTACTCCACAACTTCGATTTTTAAGCTGCTCAGGATATGTCTCATTGGTTTCAATTACTTTCAGTTCAATGGTCAACTATATCGTCAGTACAAAAGAATCCCTATAGGATCGCCTCTGTTCCCTGCCCTGGCTGATATATTTATGTAACGTTTATAACGCTTGGCCTTCACTACGGGTGAAAGAGATGCCTATCTAACCTTCTTCAAAAGGTATGCTGATAACATATTTGCCCTCTGTAAAGATGGAACTGAAGTGCCGTTTTTGAAACATCTGAACACCCTATTCCGAAGCCTTATCTTTTTCACTAGGGAGAACGAAAAAAAACGGCACCCTACATTTCTTGGATGTGCGAGTAAAACACCACCAGCGGGGATAGTTGACCACGGTGTTCCGAAAGACGCATACTGATAAGTATCTACATCACTCTTCTTGTCAACCAGATTTTCTTAAGAAAGGTGCAATCAAAATACTTCT